TTATGCTATTATCTTTACTAAAAATATTTTTGATATAAAATATATAATTATAATATTTTTAGGAGCATTCTTTTAAACAATTTGTTAAGTAACATTTGAGTTACCAGGTCTGTAAATATGAAACCGCAATTTGCCCATAGATGGCCCTAGCTGTCAATGTAGTTACCGTCAAACCGCGTCATTGGCGCCATTTTCTTGTTGGCATCTCTGACAAAGATTTTCAACTCACAACAATACAAGTTTCATACAACAGCATTGTTTGTAATAACGTTGAACATGTCGAATTTTGTGCCTGGAAACTACGATTTGCGGACAGCATTGATTTTCTGTTACCATTTGAAGAAAACTGCTGCAGAATCGCATCGAAAGCTTATCGAAGCTTACGGTGAGCATATTCTTGGTAAATCAGTGCTTTGAGTGGTTTAAAAAATTCAAAAGTGGCGATTTTGACGTAAGAAACGAAGCACGTGGAAGACCACCGGAAAAGTTTGAAGACAGCGAATTGCAAGCATTGTTGGATGAGGATGACACTCAAACGCAACAACAACTCGCGGATCAATTAAATGTGACACGAGAAGCCGTCTCCATACGTTTGAAAGCCATGGGAAAGATCCAGAAGATGGGAAAATGGGTTCCACATGAACTGAATGAAAGACAGCAGGAAAACCGAAAAACCACTTGCGAAATGCTGCTCGCCAGGTACAAAAGAAAGCCATTTCTCCATCGAATTGTGACAGGCGATGAAAAGTGGATATATTTTGAGAATCCTAAGCGTAAAGATCATGGGTAACTCCAGGCGAACCATCGACATCGAATGCAAGGCCAAATCGCTATAGACGGAAGACAATGCTCTGTTTTTGGTGGGATCAGAAGGGTGTGATCTATTATGAGCTGTTAAAACTGGCCAAACCGTTAATACTGAACGCTACCGACAACAAATGATCGATTTGAATCAAGCGTGAAAAGCTTTGCGTGAAAAACGATCAGAATATAAAAAAAGGCAACACAAAGTGATTTTGCTTCATGATAATGCACCATCACACACAGAAAACTGGTTAAGGAAACGATTGGGGCGTTTAGTTGGGAAATACTTTTGCATGCGTCTTACTCACCAGACTTGGCTTCGTCCGATTATTATTTATTTGCATCGATGGGACACGCACTTGCTAAGCAGGGCTTCACTTCTTACGAAAATGTACGAAAATGGCTCAATGACTGGTTTGCCTCAAAAGAGCAACAATTTTTTTGGCGTGGCATCCACAAATTGTCAGACAGGTGGGAAAAATGTATAGCTAGCGATGGGCAATATTTCGAATAAAATATTTTTTATCATTTTCATACAATAAACGTGTATTTTCTATACAAAAATTCCGGTTTCATATTTACATATTTGGTAAGTGAAATTAATTGATATTGATAAGTGACAGCTTATAATTTTTGGGTACAATTAAATATTATTGGGAAATAATACTTTATATTCCACCTATATAACATTTTAATAACACGTTATATTTGAGTTTATATTCTGTTACATAGGATGCAGCAAAAATATCGGTCTAGTAAAATATCTCGAAACATATAAGTTTTACAGAAAATTGTTTTAGATAAAAGTTATAGGGCTTAGGAAGATCTATTTACGGATTTTAGCAGTTTGACCTTCGATGGCGGCGCCATCGAAAGTCAGGTCGAAGTCAACTTTACTTTTTTAAATAGAAACATATATTTTTAGAAACATATACTTTTTACTACGGAATTTTATTCCACGTAAAGAAACAAACAAGTTTTGTTTAAAAATATTTTTTATACGACCTCTATTTTCTAAGATATTTACGGAAATATCTACAAAATTATTGGTTTCAATAATTTTTTACTCGAATTTTATCAATTTTACCAAAAAATAGCAAAAGATAAAAATTATTTATTTTTTCTCATAGAGCTCTGAGAATTTTTTCAGAATTTTTTAATTAACTTTTTAGTATTTCAAGAAAATGCAAGAAGATGCAGTACTAAAAAGTTAATTAAAAAATTCTGAAAAAATTTTCGGAGCTCTATAAAATGAAAATAGAAAATTTTTATCTCTTGCTATTTTTTGGTAAAGTTAATAGAATTTGAATAAAAAATTATTGAAACCAATAATTTTGTAGATATTTCCGCAAATATCTTAGAAAATAGAGGTCGTATAAAAAATGTTTTCAAACAAAAATTATGTTTTTCTTCACGTAAAATAAAATTCCGTAATAAAAAATATATGTTTCTATTTAAAAAAGCAATGTTGACCTCGACCTGACCTTGAAATGTCACCCAAGGTCAAACTGTTAAAATCAGTAAATAGATTTTCCTAAGACTTATAGCTTTTATCTAAAGCAATTTTCTGTAAAACTTATATTTTTCGAGATATTTTACCGGTCCGATACTTTTGCCGCACCCTGTATAACGGCAACTTTGTATGAGTAAAAAATTATAACTAACGTGTATGTTATATGTAACAAACATGTTATATTGCACGTTTACATTTAGTTGTACTACGACGATATAACTTATATTATTATATTGTTTACTGAGATCTTTATCTTATATTGTTTACTGGGATCTTTATCTTTTTTTCTATTATTATTATTATTATTTACTATTATTATTACTATTATTACTATTATTATTATTTATATTACTATTGTTACTATACTACTATTATTATTACTATCCCACGCAGCACGTAATATTGCAGAAATATTGCAGTGATATTGCAATATAGTGTTAATATTACATATCACAGTGAAATATTACAGAAATATTACTGAAATATTGCACCTTTACATATGTCATTGAAATATTACAGAAATATTACTGCAGTATTACATACTTATATCATTGAAATATTACATATTTATATCATTGAAATATTACACTTATATATTTGCAATATTATAGTTAAATTATAGAAATATATCATATTCTAAATAGAATGGTGACATCAATTGACATATCAATTTCTTTGACATTATAAACATCATTAAAACGTTATTACGGCGTCATTTGAAGTCACCTTCCCTTACAGAAATAGTATTTTTTAAAAGTTTCTTTTAAAATTTAATATTTCGATTTGTTTAATTTGGATTTTCTTGGATTTTTTAATTTTTTTTTGTTAGATTAATCATTATAACATTTTGTTAAAAATCTAAAAGTAATTATCACTGGTTCACTACGTCCCTTATAGAAATGTAATACTGATAAGTAATAATTTGGCCAGTGATAATTTTAAATGTCGTTCAATAATTTTATTACTCGTACGAGTACCAAAATTATTACTTATCAGTATTACATTTCTATAAGGGATTACATCAATATTTATCGCATATCGAATGTTGTTGCATTGTTTCAATATCTATCAGCAAATTATCCAACAAACACTAAGTAAAAATTATATAACTAAAAATTATATTATTTGATGTTTGCTAAGTATATTATAATGTACTGTGAACAC